ACTTATTTTATGAGGTTAGTATAACCTTGATGCCATAACAGATAAGTAACCCTATTTACTTTTCAACATAGCTGGAAACAAGATTAAATTTTTAAAGCCAATGATGTATAATGACCATGATCAAGAATAATTTATCCCAAGAGTGCAAGGAGCTCAACAGAAAAATCTATACATGTAAATCATTAATGGATTAAAGGGGAGAAAATCATATTTACTTCACTAAGTGTGGAAAAGCATTTGACAAAGTTCTAAATATGATATTAAATTTCATTCATTCATTCATTCATTCAAGAGGCAGAGAGAGCCCCTGCTTGCTGTTTCACTCCTCAAATGCACACAATGGTCAGGATTGGACTTGGCTGAAGCCAGGAGCTGGGAAGTCAATCCAGGTCTCCTACGCAAGTGGCAGGAGCCCAACTACTTGAGCCATTATTGCTGCCTCCCGGGGTCAGTGCCAACAAAGCTTCCACGAAGCTGGAGTCATGAACTGGAGCTGAGCATCAAACCCAGGGACCTGGCTCTTAACTGGCACCCTAACCACTTGGCTAAATGCTTTCTCCTACAGCTGATATTCTATGCTCAGCTAAGAGTTAAAGAGAAATTCCTTACTTGATAAAAGCTATATACCAAAAGTCTGTAACAAACACCATACATACTTAATGGAGAGATTAATTTATTTCAGCAAATATTCATTGACCGTCTACCACATACCAAGCATTCTTCTAAGTATTTAGGAAACATCAGTGAAGAAAACAAAGATCCCTGACTTCATGGAACTTTTTTTTTTCAAAGATTTATTTATTTATTTGAAAGGCAGAGTTACAGAGAGGCAGAGAGAGAGATAGAGAGAGAGAAAGTCTTCTATCATCTGGTTTACTTCCAAATGACTGCAACGGATGGAGCTATGCCGATCCGAAGCCAGGAGCCAGGAGCTTATTCCAGGTCTCCCACATGGGTGCAGGGACCCAAGGACTTGGGCCATCTTCTACTGCTTTCCCAGGCCATAGCAGAGAGCTGAATCAGAAATGGAGCAGCAGGACTCGAACCGGCACCCATAAGGGATGCCAGCACTACAGACAGCAGCTTTACCCACTACACCACAGCACCAGCCCTGATTTCATAGAGCTTACATCTATTTACTGGGTGGAGTATATCGTGAAAATATATGTGTGTATATATTTATATAATATACATATATAATATATATATAATGAGTAAATTTTATTGGCTATTAGAAGGTAGCAGTTGCTAAGGAAAAGGAAAACACTGAGACCAGTAGGGGTATCAGGATGTGTGTAGAGGATGTTCATCTCAAAGGAGCTGGGAAGGAAGCATGAAAAGTATTTCCTTAAGGTCCCAAACACATCAAAGGTGCCACTATCACTAACATGGTACAAGAACTCTTATCAGTGTTATAATAAAAAGAAATACAAAATGAAAAGATTAAGGGAGGAAGCAAAGCTGTTATTGTATACAGATGATCATTTATATAGAAAACCCAACTGAATAAAATGACAAATGTTCAAGCAAGGTGAGTTCAACAACTGAAGAACTTCACTGCTGAAGCTCACAGCTAAATGGTCAGAGGAGGAGCTAGCACTGTGGCCCAGCCAGTAAAGCTCTTGGGATCCCTTATCAGAGCGCTGGTTTGATGCGCTCCTTCGCCTCTGATCCAACTTCCCGCTAATGCATCTAGGGAGATAGGTGTTAGCTCGAGCGCTTGGAACCGTGCCACCCACACGGGAGACTCAGATGGAGTTCCAGGTTTTTGGCTTCAGCCAGGCCCAGTCCTGGCTGTTGTGCCATGTGAGGAGTGACCCAGGGGATGGAAGGTCTTTCTTGCTCGCTCTGCCTTTCAAGTATGTGAAAATAAATAAGTAGAAATGCAAGAAGATATTTTCAATGTGAAACAAAGGATTAATATGTGGAATATACAAGGAACTCCTGAAACTCAAAAACAAGAAGAAAAATGGAAAAGCTGGCAAAAAATACGAACAGACAATTCACAGAAACTGAAACCCAGATGTCAAGTAAGTATATCAAGAAGTGTTTGAACTCACTAAAAATCAGAAAAACACAAAGGAAAAAAATGGAATACTAAAACACATCCTTAGATGTTAGAAAGTTGATGAAAATGTGGAGAAATGGAAACTCTTCAGCTGGTGGAAGTAAAACTGGTAGAGACATACTTGAAAGAATTCTGAGACCGCCTAGGGAAACGAAGTATACCAAGATCCTATGATGCAGCAATTGTACTCCTGCCTGTACTTCCCAGAGAAAGCCCAGCATGGGCTGATAAAAAGACACACAGAGGAACACTTGCTCAACATCGTTTGTGCAAACCAGAGTTGGAGGCAACCCAGCCATTTGTTGTGACAATATAAGTTGTGTAAGGCCACTGGCTCCCCTTATAGTTAGGGGTCAAAAATTGAAATGCCTAAAGAACCAAGCTGGCCAGAGCTGGCGGGTAAGGGCAGGGGCCATGTAAAGAGCATAACCTCTCCTCACCCCCAGACAACTTTTGGCAGGTGGGATGTGGGTAAAAGTTATCCTACTACCACTTTTCTTCATATTTAATTTTAAGTAACAGCTTTATTTTATGTATCAAGAAAGAAAAGATGCTGCCAATTACATGACACTGTATTTCAGTAATATTAAAAGGTGAAAAAAAAATGTGTCCAACAGTGCAACGTGGTATTTTTTTCAGAGAAGCAAGAAATCTGGATTTTAATGTGAAATAGGATCATTTTTTAAGACGCAGAAAAAATTTTAAATATAACGTGGGCATGTATTTCTGGAGGGCCCTACGTGCTATTTGCAGCTGCAGCTAATTTCCTCTAATTACTGGTTCAGATTTTTCCATTAAAAGACTTTCAATAATTCTTATGGTTCACACATGCAGAATTTACTTAGGGCTGAGTCTTCCCTCTCCTGAATATAAGCCTGAGAGCCAGAACTGCCTACATTCCTTAACAGTAGCCTTCAGGGCCGACGCTGTGGCTCACTAGGCTAATCCTCCGCCTGCGGCGCCGGCACCCCAGGTTCTAGTCCCGGTGGGGGTGCCGGATTCTGCCCGGTTCCTCCTCTTCCAGTCCAGCTCTCTGCTCTGGCCCAGGAAGGCAGTGGAGGATGGCCCAAGTGCTTGGGCCCTGCACCCGCATGGGAGACCAGGATGAAGCACCTGGCTTCGGTAGTAGCCATTTGGGGGGGTGAACCAGCGGAAGGAGGACCTTTCTCTCTGTCTCTCTCACTGTCTAACTCTGCCTGTCGGAAAAAGAAGAAGAAAAAAAAAAAAACAGACTTCAGCCAAATGCCTGTGAGGGGACACAACTTTTTTTTTCTTTTCAAGATTTTTATGTTGGGGCCAGCTCTGCCTGTGGCACTGGCATCCAATTTGGGTGCTGGTTCATGTCTCAGCTACTCCTCTTCCTAACCAGCTGTCTGCTATGGTGTGGGAAAAGTAGAGGTCATGTGCCTGGACCCCTGCACCCCCATAGGAGATCCGAAGAAGCTTCTGGCTTCAGATCGGCTCAGCTCCAGCCGTTGTGGCCATTTGGGGAATGAACTAGCGGATAGAAGAGCTCTCTCTCTCTCTCTCTCTATCTCTCTCACCCTGCCTCTCAAATAAACAAATAAAAGTTTAAAGATGCTTATGTTATTCATTTGAAAAGTAGAGTTATAGATGGGAGGGAGGAGAGAAGGAGAGAGAGAGAGATATCTTCCATACACTGGGTTCACTCCCCAAATGACTGCAATGGCCAGACCTGGGCTGGTCCAAAGCCAGGAACCAGGAGCTTCTTCCAGGTCTCCCACGTGGGTGCTGGAGTCCAAGCACTTGGGCCATCTTCCGCTGCTTTTCCAGGCCATAGCAGAGAGCTGGCTTGGAAGTGGAGCAGCTTGGACTCGTCCTGGCACCCAGAGGGGTTGCCAGCCTTAAAGGCAGCAGCTTTACCTGGTATGCCACAATGCTGGCCCTGGGACACACTTTTTAAAGAGTAGTATTTAACCTGTGGTTGAGGGCAAGCATAACTTCATTATTTCAATCCCCTGGGCTCAATCTCTGCTTACTTCTATGACCCTGAAATCTCAAAAAGACGGCTAATTACACTTATTCTTCATAAACGTCTCTACCTGGCAGAACAATAGCATACTTTGCTAAATAGCTCTGGCTGGATCTGTAACCCTCTTCAAACTGCTCTCTGGAGCTACTAAGTATGTAAACAAGACGGCGCACATTTAACTAGGAGTTGAGTGACGTACATCCCTAGTAAGACTGCTACTTCATAAAGAACCCTGATTGGACAGGCCACCGGCAGGTTCCAAACCCAAGGCAGCAGCATTTCTCAAAGTGTGACGGGATACCCCCCCAACTTTAAAGTCACTTGAGGCGCTTTGTGGAAATGCATTCCTGAATTTCACCCCCTTATCATATTAAAACCTACAGGCTGCATTCCAACCAAATCATACTTAGGCATACTGGGAAACACTGCCCTGACCGGTCCATCAGAGCGGGTCATACAGCATTGTCTAATAACTGCACTCACAGCCATTCAGGGAGCAAGCTGGGCACATCACGGGTGACGAACAGGCTGCAGCGGCGGCCACCCAGGCCTCCCGGGTAACCAGCCCCCCTCCACCTCGCCGGGTGGGGGATTAAAATTACTGCTTCCGAAAGGGATATCCGTGTCCACACTCCCCATCCCATCACTTCCCCACTGCCATCGTCCCCTTTTCTAGAATGTCCTGCTCTTCGCCCTCCCTCCTCTCGGCGTCAGGGTCCCTGCACCTTACCTCAGGTCTCCATCAGAGCCCCAGGCCGCTCCTCAACCCGACCACCCGGGGCCACGGCTGCTCTTCCCCCTCGGGCCTCCGACTCCACGGAACTAGCCTCCGCTAGCCTCCCGTCCGCTGCTCAAGGACCCCTGCACCCACAACACGTTACAGCCGCCTTTCCCACTCCCCATCTCTCAGCTTTGGCTGCGGGGCCCGGAGGGTACTCACCATTCCGCCCGTTGCTACTGTCACTGCTCTGGTTGCTAGGGCCCGCCGGGGTCAGTGCGCGTGCGCAGTCCTCGGAGCCCTCCGCGGAGGCCTACGCCGGCAGCGGTCCTTTCTCTCCGCCCGCAGGGAGGCCTGAGCGGAGCATTGTGGGACGGCGTGGCGGCCGCCGGGGTCCTCCCGCGCGGCTCCGGGCGGCCGGGCGGCTGCTGGTGACGCGGAGCGGTCGGGCGCGTGACGGCGCGCCGAGCGCCCGGGGCACGTGTTTTCCTCACCCAAAGCGGTATCAGCGTCGGATCCGCAGTAATGTCCCTGCGTAAAGTTTAAAGCCCCGTGCTCGTTAAAGGACGGTTTAAATGCCTCTCCCCGGGCGCCTGCCTTTGCTGTCAGATTTCCTGAAGTGAGAGTAAATAATTCATTCGCATCCGATCGAGAATATTCAGCGCCAGCCTCCACCGAGTTTCTCCTTTATTACCCAGGACGCTACAGGGAGCCCCCGGCGATGAAAGGATCGGTTCCACGTTTAAAATATCACAAAGTGTTGGTTTCATACAACCAAGGTGTCTTTTTCCTCCAAATTAACTAAAAATTGTAAAAATAATAATTTTTTCCCTCTAGGAGTTGATAGAAAATAGTAAAATAGGGGTGCAAAATACTCTGCTGTTTTATAATTTGATGCACCCTTTTTGGAGGGTTGTTGGCAATGTATTTTTTTAATATATTTTTTTTTAATATTTACCTACCTGTCAGGTCTCCCACGTAGGTGCAGGGGCTCAAGCACTTGGGCCATCCTCCATTGCTTTCCCAGGTGCATTAGCAGGGAGCTGGATTGGAAGTGGAGCAGCCGGGACTGGCACCGATGTGGAATGTGTCTTGCAGACACAAGGCCATACGTAGTCAACTCTGGGGAACGTGACCAAAATCCTGTAGTCAGCCTAGGGCGTTTCTCAGCTGCTTTACCAGTAAGGAAGAAGTTGAGATTCATGGGGCCGGTGCTGTAGCATAGCAGGTAAAGCCACTGCCTGCAATGCTGGCATCCCATATGGGCCCTGGTTGCAGTGCCAGCTGCTCCACTTCCGATCCAGCTCTCTGCTATGGCCTGGGAAAACAGTAGAAAATGGCCCAAGTCCTTGGGCCCTGCACCTGCGTGGGAGACCCAGAAGCAGCTCCTGGCTCCTGGCTTCGGATAGGCACAGCTCCGGCCATTGTGGCCAACTGGGGAGTGAACCAGTGGATGAAAGACCTTCTCTCTCTCTCTCTCTCTCTCTCTCTCTCCCTCTCTCTCTCTTTCTCTGCCTCTCCTCTCTGTGTAACTCCGACTTTCAAATAAGTAAATCTTTTTTTTTTTTTTTTTAAAGAAGTCATATATTGAAGTCCTGCCCCTCACTGCTATTTAGAGATAGGGCCCATTATGGATTGACAGGACTTGCTCCCCAAACTCGTGCAGATATTTAAACTCTGAAATCTTATGTTAACATTGATGAATTAAGGGTGGAGACTTGATTCAGTGATGTGGCTGAGGGGGGCCTTGTGGGAGTTTCCCCAACTTTGAGGGCTTCCCTTAGAAGGTAGTTCTCCAGAGAGAGGCCTGGATGTTGTTGTTGTGGTTTTAATTAATTTATCTGTAAGGCAGAATGGCTGGAGAGGGAGAGGGAGAGGGAGGGAGATGTTCCATCCTCTGGTTCACTCGCCAAATGGCTGGGTCTGAGCCAGGCCAAAACCAGGAGCCTGAAACTCCATTCTGGTTTCCCATGTAAATGGCAGAGGCCCAAGCACTTGGCCCTCATCCACTGCCGTCCCAGGCACATTAGCGGGGAGCTGCGTTGGAGGTGAAGCAGCTGGCTCTGAAATCGGTCCTCTGACATGGGAGCCAGCGCAGCGAGTGGGGCTTAACCTGCTGAGCCACAGTGCCGGCCGAGGCCTGGTTACTGAGGCCGAGTTTGGCCTGTCTTGCTCTGCATCCTGGCCTGCCCTGTGACCATCCCTCCACACCACCCTCCGTTGCCAGCTGCCACCAGGTCCTGCACGTGAACTTCCTACCTGGAAGCCAGAAAACCTTCTCCTTCCCAAGAAGCTCCTCTCAGGCATTTTACAGTCATGAAAAGGTGACTGATACAGGGTCTCAAGAGCTGGCGTTGTGCTGTGGTGGGTTAAGCTGCCACTTGATTACCGGCTGCTCCACTTCCAATCCAGCGCTTGGCTGATTTGCCTGGGAAAGCAGCAAAAAGGCCCAAGTGCTTAGGCCCCTGTGCCCAAGTGGGAGACCCAGGCTTCGGCCTTGCACAGCCCCAGCCATGGCGGCCATGTGGGGAGTGAGCCAGCAGATGGGACGTTCTCTCTCTCCCTTTCAGATAAATAAAAGTAGGGGTAGGCCCATAATCCAAAGGACGGGCGTTCTTATAAGCAGAGTAAGAGACGCCAGGAGCACCAACACAGAGAAGGCTTTATGGAGAAACCATGGAAAGCAACTCTGCCATCACGTGGCGTGCCAGCTTCCAGAACTGTGAGAAAATAAATTTCTGTTGTTTAGGCCACTCCATCTGTGGTATTGTTGTACGGCAGCCTGAGCAAGCTCACACGGTGCTCATTTTGCTTGTCTATTTTCTGATTCTTATATACTGTGAATGTTTTAATTTTTGAAATAAAAATCTTATTTTGAAAAGTTGGATAAACTAGGGGCCAGCGCCGTGCCTCACTTGGTTAATCCTCCACCTGCAGCACCGGCATCCCATTTGGGCGCCGGGTTCTATTTCCGGTTGCTTCTTTTCCAGTCTTGCTCTCTGCTGTGGCCTGCGAGGGCATTGGAGGATGGCCCAAGTGCTTGGGCCCTGCACCCATATGGGAGACCTGGAGAAGCACCTGGCTCCTGGCTTCGGATTGGCGCAGTGCCGGCCGTGGCAGCCGTTTAGGGGCTGAACCAATGGTAGGAAGAACTTTCTCTCTCTCTCTCTCTCAATGTCTAACTCCATTTGTCAAAATAAATTTAAAAAAAAATCATAAAAGTTGGATAACTTAATCACATTAAAAAATAAGAACTAGTAAGATGTTTATTAAAGAAACTGAAAATGTATATTCATATTTTTATTCTTTTTTTTTAAAGATTTATTTGTTTGAATCACAGAGCTACAGAGAGGCAGAGAGAGAGAAAGAGAGAGAGAGAAACAGAGATCTTACATTCTCTGCTTCACTCCCTAACCTTCCACAGTGGCTGGAGCTGCACCTATCTGAAGCCATCCAAAGCCAGGAGCCAGGATTTTCTTCCAGGTCTCCCACACCTAGCAGGATCTCAAGTACTTGGGCCATCTTCTACTGATTTCCCATGCCACAACTGAGCTGGATAGGAAGTGGAGCAGCCGGGACTCAAACTAGCACCCACATGGGATGCCAGAGCTTCAAGCCAGGGCATTAACTCGCTGAGCCACAGCACCAGCCCCATTGAGGGGGGTTTTCATCACGCCCTTTGGCTTTTGCCAGAGGCAAGGATCTTCTGAGTGGACCACCTGGAGGCCTCAAACCCAGGAAGTCGAGCCTTGAGTCCTGTGGCAGGCCAGCTCCAGCCTCCCGCGGCTGTCTGCCTCCTAGTGGATAGCCAGTGGGTGAGGTGGCCAGGGTTGCTGTCGCTGGCGAATCACCCACTTCCCCCAGACCTAGCTTGGCCTGACAGACCAAGTTGCAGGCATTTTGCAGGACCATGCAGTTGCCTGCACTGGCCACCAGGGGATACTATTCCCTAAACCTGCTTCAAGGAAGCCATGGCTGCTGCTGGCTCCAACCAAATTAGCTTCCTCCCTTAAAATAATCTTTGCCCCAGATGAAGAAAGACTGTCAAGGTCAAAATTTCAGCGTTTCAGATGAGACATTGAATTGAACTGCAAAATGGTAGGAAGGAGGACAGAAGCTAGTGGAGAGAGAATCTCCTGATCTGAATGTCATAAAGGTCTAAAACCAGCTGAGTTGGGACAGTGGGGACCAGGGGAAGATGGAGCATGGATTTTGCTTTTTCACAGAGAAAGTGGAACTAAAGTGAATACCACGGGGAGATAAGTGCTGTTTTCTGTGGCCAAACACAAGTATTAGCAACGTATATTTTAGGATGCAGAAAAATCTTACCGTATATGGCATTGATGATTTTTTTTTTTTAAGATTTGTTTATTTGAAAGGCAGAGTTACGGAGAGGCAGAGAGAGAGAGAGAGAGAGAGAGAGAGAGAGAGAGGCAGGCGTCGGTCTTCAATCCGCTGGTTGACTCCCCAAATGGTCACAATGGTCAGAGCTGCGCCAATCCTGAGCCAGGAGCCAGGAGCTTCTTCTGTGTCTCCCACACAGGTGCAAGGCCCCAAGCACTTGGGCCATCTTTCACTGCTTTCCCATAGCAAAGAATGCTGGATCAGAAGCAGAGCAGATGGGACTTGAACTGGTGTCCATATGGGATGCCAGCACTACAGGTGGTGGCTGTACCTGCTACGCCACAGTGCTGTCCCTTGCATTAATGCTTTTTTGAGAGAAGGCACTGAACCATAAAGCCGTGTCTTTCAATTCATGTATATATTTTTTTCCAATGCACACAAAACAGTTCTAGAAGGGTACACTTGCTATTGGAAATAGAAACCATCCTTTGGAGAAGACTGGGATTGGGAACTGAGTTAAGAGAATCTTCCTGTATTACTTGACACTTTTATAGTGAAGAATATATTCACATACGTAATTTTAAATGTGGAATTCTATTAAATTACAATTCCATTAAACTACTTGTTAAGAAAGAGGAATGTAAATATATATCTTATCGCTTCTCGGCCTTTTGGCTAAGATCTAGTAAATATATATCTTAATTTGGAGGAGGGGACTATTTCACTTTCAAGTGTCCCATTTAACCATAAATAAAATCATAATTGTTGGGCCGGCACTGTGGCTCACTAGGCTAATCCTCCGCCTGCGGTGCCAGCATCACATATATGCGCCTGTTCTACTCTGGTTGCTTCTCTTCCAGTCCAGCTCTGCTGTGGTCCATTACTTGGCCCTGTACCCACATGGGAGACCTCGAGGAGGCACCTGGCTCCTTTCTTTGGATTGGCCTAGCGCCAGTCATAGTGGCCATCTGGGGAGTGAACCAATGGAGGGAAGACCTTTCTCTCTGTCTCTCTCTCTGTCTAATCTCTACCTATAAAATAAATAAAAAAATCATAATTGTTATGTGTTCTGAATTTTTTTTTTTTTTACAGGCAGAGTGGACAGTGAGAGAGAGAGACAGAGAGAAAGGTCTTCCTTTTGCCATTGGTTCACCCTCCAATAGCCGCCGCAGCCAGCGCGCTGCGGCCGGCGCACCGCGCTGATCCGATAGCAGGAGCCAGGAGCCAGGTGCTTATCCTGGTCTCCCATGGGGTGCAGGGCCCAAGCACTTGGGCCATCCTCCACTGCACTCCCTGGGCCACAGCAGAGAGCTGGCCTGGAAGAAGAGCAACCGGGACAGAATCCGGCGCCCCAACCGGGACTAGAACCCGGTGTGCCAGCGCCGCAAGGCGGAGGATTAGCCTAGTGAGCCACGGCGCCGGCCTTGAATTCTGAATCTAATACATTTGCTAATGACTCCTGGACCAGGAGTTCATGAAGTAAGACAGGGCAAGCACAGCAAAACCATGTCCAGCCAGGATCTGGCCCTGTATTCACAAAGGCCACCCTCACTTCCAAACAGATCGAGGATCCCGGGAAAGGCTCCCTCACCTGCAAACACCACAGAGCACAGGGAGCTTTAGGCTCTCAAAAGACATCTTGGCTTCCGATTTGGACAGCCTGCAGGCTTGGGAAAAACCAGGGAAGTCAGGCTGCTGGAAAAAGGACCCCTTTTACTTCAGCTTAAAAAAAAAGAAATCCCTCAGGGATAAGAGAAGGGAAGCAAAATGTTTTATTTTGGGATATATTCTCACAAGCAATAATAAAAATAATACAGGGAAACCAAGTTTGAAACAATATGAGAAAAGCCGGTGCCGCGGCTCACTAGGCTAATCCACAACCTGCGGCGCCGGCACACCGGGTTCTAGTCCCGGTCCGGGCGCCGAATTCTGTCCTGGTTGCCCCTCTTCCAGGCCAGATCTCTGCTGTGGCCAGGCAGTGCAGTGGATGACGGCCCAAATGCTTGGGCCCTGTACCCCATGGGAGACCAGGATAAGTACCTGGCTCCTGCCATTGGATCACCTGTCAAAAAAAAAAGAAAAAAAGAAAACAATATGAGAAATAGATTTTCCACCGAATTTTCTGTCTCATTTTTCTCACTACAGTGTCTACCTGGGAATGCTCTATAGGGGATTATTAGAATATGCTCCTACCTTCTTCCACTCTCTGCTCCAGCCTCAAAGAATGCCATCCCTAAACGGGCTAGGTTCTCTTTGGCCCCTGAATATCAGTATGGAGTTTTGCCTGGAATACTGCTTTTCCTCCCTCTTTCTACTTTTTTTTTTTTTCCCCACCAGCTTGACCCCTTAGTCTTCAAACCCAAGTTGAGACCTCCCTTCCTGAAAGCCTTCCCAGATACCTCCAAGGCTGAGGTGAGTTGGGCATCTTTTTGCTTGTTCTCACGAGCACCCTGGGCCTTACCATCCCATGCAATACAGGGTCAACGGGGGTTGCCTCATCCTCTAGTAGATAGTAAGTACGGTGGGGGTCACATCTGATTTTGTTAGCTACTGCATCCCAACACTTAGCAATAATTGTCTTTGACTTACTACATTTCTTCCTCCATCTCCAGGACCACCACAGACACCAACATCCATAGATGTTCAAGTTCCTCATATGAAACAAATCATAGTTGCATATGACCTACACAATGCTCTCACTGAGTCTGAGGTCCTCTCCAGATGACTGACAATACCTAATCCAATGTAAATACCATGGAATAGTTGTTGCCTGGTTAGAGAAGAAGGGGAAAAGGTCTGTACTTGTGCAGTAGAATCACAGTTTTTGGAAAATATATTTTCCATCCATGGCTGGTTGAATGTATGGATGTGGATGGATATGGAGTGTGACTATAACTACTCAGGAAATGACGGAACATTCTGCATTATATACGAAGGTCTTTGAGAAAACAATAAATTGTAAGTGGGTCGCATAGTAGACACTGAAACAGCTGACACCAGACTGCCTTGACTGGAATATCGGTACTACACTGGGAAGTAATGAGCTTGTTTTGCTTTCTATGACAGCCTCCAGAAGTTATGTAACACATCAGTGAGTATGAATTGTTGAGTTCCTACTGCACCCTGTGAAAACCTCTAGAAATACAGAGCTAGAGACTGTTTAAGACCCAATTCCAGCCCCAGGAACTCACTGGGTGGTGGGTGGCCACTAGTTAAGTTAAGAACTAACCTGAAGAGCCGGCGCCGTGGCTCAATAGGCTAATCCTCCACCTTGCGGCGCCGGCACACCGGGTTCTAGTCCCGGTTGGGGCGCCGGATTCTGTCCCGGTTGCCCCTCTTCCAGGCCAGCTCTCTGCTGTGGCCAGGGAGTGCAGTGGAGGATGGCCCAGGTGCTTGGGCCCTGCACCCCATGGGAGACCAGGAAAAGCACCTGGCTCCTGGCTCCTGCCAGGATCAGCGCGGTGCGCCGGCTGCAGCGGCGGCCATTGGAGGGTGAACCAACGGCAAAGGAAGACCTTTCTCTCTCTGTCTCTCTCTCTCTCACTGTCCACTCTGCCTGTCAAAAAAAAAAAAAAAAAAAAAACTAACCTGAAGAGCCACACACACGAAGCAGGGTGCCCTGTTCTGGAGAATGGTTACAGAATTCAGCTTCGGGATTCTGTGAACCGTGGGCAACTGTAACACTAGTCAGCAATTTGGTTGCAAGGGGTGGACCAAGGATCTCCTTTCAAGGTCACTCTTACCAAGCTTTTTTTTTTTCTTAGAGATATTTTATGCTTACTTTACCTTTTTTTTTTTTTTTTAAGATTCCACTTATCTTATTTGAAAGAGTTACAGAGAGAGAAGGAGAGGCGCAGAGAGAGAGAGAGAGAGATGTCTTCCATCCACTGGTTCACTCCCCAGATGGCTGCAACAGCCGGAGCTGTGTTGATCTGAAGCCAGGAGCCAGGAGCTTCTTCTGGGTCTCCCATGTGGGTGCAGGGGCCCAAGGACTTGGGCCATCTTCTGCTGCTTTCCCAGGCCATAACAGAGAGCTGGATTGAAAGTGGAGCAGCCAGGACTCGAACCAATGCCCATATGGGATGCCGGCACTGCAGGCGGCAGCTTTACCCACTATGCCACAGCGCCAGCACCTACCTAGTTTTTACTTAGGGTATTTCTCCTTAGCCTGGGGTCTCTACTTCACTTAGGGTTTCTCATTCTCAGCACCATAGACATTTTGAGCAAGGTAGTTTGTTGTTCTGGGCCTTGTCCTTTGCTGGGTGGGATGTTTAGCTGCATCTCCCTGCTCCTCCTGCTGGATCCAGTGGCTTCTCTGCCTTCAGATGTGACCTTCAAAACTGGCTCCAGATATTGCCAGATCTCACTCAGGGGAGAGGCAGACTCACCCCACGTGGAGGAGCCCCATATGGGGAGTTTTAACCTGTGTGTGTTTCAGTGATTATGGGGCACTGCCTCTACAGCAGGTTTCAGCCTCTTTGTCGGTGTGAAGTAAAAGCACTCCTAAAATAAATAAATTAAAAAATATTAAAGAGTAAACCAGCCTTGCACACGGGCCACAGGCACTGCCTATAGCGGTATTCAAAACACAGCCAAGGCCAGCACGCAGAGGCTCCCGACAGAGCTGAAGGCGCTCCAGCACACAATTGAGGGAGTGCCAGTCCCTCAGTGCCATGAACTTCAGAGGAGAAACTCCCATCCCGAATCCGCGACGGACTCCGGCTCGCGGAGAACAGCTTGAGGGAATTCCACATTCACGTGGCTCTGGGGTTAGGTAAGCGGGTCGCAAAAAACTGGGCAGTGAGCGACTCACCTGGCGGCAGGAAGAGCGTGGCGCGCACCCGGCCTGCGCGCACCGGCTGGCGCCGCACCCCCGGCGGCAGGAAGCGGCGCTCCAGCAGCGCGCGGGCCAGGAGCTGCCCGGGCTCCGGGGCGTGGCCGTCCAGCACCTCCAGCTCCACGGCCAGCGGCGTCTGCACGTCCCGCTTGGTCAGACGCCAGAAGGGCCTGTCGGGCTGCAGGGCCCAGAGGAGCCCCATGGGCTCGAGCCCCGCGAAGCTGCCGCCCAGCGCGGGCGCGCGCGCCAGGTCCAGCTGGCCGCCGGCGTCGGCGCAGTAGCGCGCGTGGGCCCGGAAGAGCGCGCCCTTCTCGTCGCGCAGGGACGCGCGCAGCGTGACCGGCTGCTCGGGGGCCAGGCCGCGCACGGCGATGCGCACCGGCTCGTCCCAGCAGCAGGGGCCCGCGGGCTCCACGCTCACCGTCGCCGCCATCCCGACGTGGGCAGCGAAGAGACGTCCCTGCTTATAGGAGTCCTGGGCCAGGTCTGGTCTCTCTGCCCCGTGGTGCCACCCTTTGCACTTTCCATTGGTTGGGCACCGGGACACTATCCAAGCCGCTGTGTGAGGCCTCTTGGTGCCAGTGCCCCTAGCTCCCTGGACGGAGGATGGGAGTCTGCTTAGAGTGAATGCCTACTCCGGTGACCCAGCCTGGCCCAGTGGAAATTAGCCCTGAAGCTAAAGCATTCAGAGGGATACAGCTCCAAGCATCCGGATTTTGATGCAAGCCTCCCAAGAATGAGAATGCATTGATCCATGGAGAAACATGAGCCCTGCTTCCCTCTCATTCCCTTTCCAAGTCCTCTCCCTGGAGGTGTTTCCAGGGCACAGCCATGTTTATGCAGTCAGATGAGACCCGCCTAGGTGGCAGCTGGACTGTGTTCTTGAATAGCTTGGCGATCTTTAGCAGACGCGTAACTAAGCCTCTGAGTCTGGTTTCCTCATCTGGACAGGCTTAGTGGGCCCTTAAATGGGCTCATGTAAAGCTGTGCTGATGGACCTGGGCGTAAGTACCTACTAGAAAAGTGTTTTGATCTCAACACCCAGTACTCACTGGCGGTGTCAGTTGGAGGTTGTGTTGGTCTGGCAGGATGTGACACACTCGGCCTGGGCAAGTTGAGGAGCATTTCTTTTTTTTTTTTTTTTGATAGAGTGAACAGTGAGAGAGAGAGACAGAGAGAAAGGTCTTCCTTTGCTGTTGGTTCACCCCTCAACGGCCACTGCGGCTGGCACACCGCGCTGATCTGATGGCAGGAGCCAGGTACTTATCCTGGTCTCCCATGTGGGTGCAGGACCCAAGCACTTGGGCCATCCTCCACTGCACTCCCGGGCCACAGCAGAGAGCTGGCCTGGAAGAGGAGCAACCGGGACAGAATCCGGCACCCCGAATGGGACTAGAACCCGGGGTGCCAGCGCCGCAGGCGGAGGATTAGCCTAGTGAGCCGTGGCGCCGGCCTTGAGGAGCATTTCATGAAGAAAGTTCTTACAAGGGCCTGGGCAAGGTTAAGCACAAAACAACCCAGGTTTGTTGTGCAACCCTGGGCCTGAGGGCTTCAAGGGAAGATGACTGGCAGGGGCTGTGGTCTTCTTGGGGGCGGGCAGGCGAGCTGTGCTGTGTGGGAGGAGCAGGGAGTTCAGATCCCTTGACCTCACACTTCCCTTGCCCTCCCGTGTGTTGCCAGGGTCTGTCTCAGCCCTGCAGCTCAGACTGTCTGAGCACCAGGTAGGGTAGAGAGGAGAAGGGCACACGGTGACGCCCAGACAATGGAGACCTTGGGGTCATGTGATTCCTGGGATAAAGCTTTGAAGGACACTCCGTGTCTAAGTGGGTCTGGAGCACATCCCAGACTGTCCTAGACGGTCCTGTCTGAGCATGTTACATTCCCACCGTGTGCAAGAGGTGTTCCTGAGAACCCAAGTGAAAAGGGAGTCAGTCCAAGGTCACCTGGAAAACTATCCTCCGTACACCCCCAACTTGATATCCCCCAGGAGAACCAGTCCAGCCGGAGTCCGTCGCGGATTCGGGATGGGAGTTTCTCCTCTGAAGTTCATGGCACTGAGGGACTGGCACTCCCTCAATTGTGTGCTGGAGCGCCTTCAGCTCTGTCGGGAGCCTCTGCGTGCTGGCCTTGGCTGTGTTTTGAATACCGCTATAGGCAGTGCCTGTGGCCCGTGTGCAAGGCTGGTTTACTCTTTAATATTTTTTAATTTATTTATTTTAGGAGTGCTTTTACTTCACACCGACAAAGAGGCTGAAACCTGCTGTAGAGGCAGTGCCCCATAATCACTGAAACACACACAGGTTAAAACTCCCCGTATGGGGCTCCTCCACGTGGGGTGAGTCTGCCTCTCCCCTGAGTGAGATCTGGCAATATCTGGAGCCAGTTTTGAAGGTCACATCTGAAGGCAGAGAAGCCACTGGATCCAGCAGGAGGAGCAGGGAGATGCAGCTAAACATCCCACCCAGCAAAGGACAAGGCCCAGAACAACAAACTACCTTGCTCAAAATGTCTATGGTGCTGAGAATGAGAAACCCTAAGTGAAGTAGAGACCCCAGGCTAAGGAGAAATACCCTAAGTAAAAACTAGGTAGGTGCTGGCGCTGTGGCATAGTGGGTAAAGCTGCCGCCTGCAGTGCCGGCATCCCATATGGGCATTGGTTCGAGTCCTGGCTGCTCCACTTTCAATCCAGCTCTCTGTTATGGCCTGGGAAAGCAGCAGAAGATGGCCCAAGTCCTTGGGCCCCTGCACCCACATGGGAGACCCAGAAGAAGCTCCTGGCTCCTGGCTTCAGATCAACACAGCTCCGGCTGTTGCAGCCATCTGGGGAGTGAACCAGTGGATGGAAGACATCTCTCTCTCTCTCTCTCTGCGCCTCTCCTTCTCTCTCTGTAACTCTTTCAAATAAGATAAGTGGAATCTTAAAAAAAAAAAAAAAAGGTAAAGTAAGCATAAAATATCTCTAAGAAAAAAAAAAAGCTTGGTAAGAGTGACCTTGAAACGAGATCCTTGGTCCACCCCTTGCAACCAAATTGCTGACTAGTGTTACAGTTGCCCACGGTTCACAGAATCCCGAAGCTGAATTCTGTAACCATTCTCCAGAACAGGGCACCCTGCTTCGTGTGTGTGGCTCTTCAGGTTAGTTCTTAACTTAACTAGTAGCCACCCACCACCCAGTGAGTTCCTGGGGCTGGAATTGGGTCTTACACAGTCTCTAGCTCTGTATTTCTAGAGGTTTTCACAGGGTGCAGTAGGAACTCAACAATTCATACTCACTGATGTGTTACGTAACTTCTGGAGGCTGTCATAGAAAGCAAAAACAAGCTCATTACTACCCAGTGTAGTACCGATATTCCAGTCAAGGCAGTCTGGTGTCAGCTGTTTCAGTGTCTACTATGCGACCCACTTACAATTTATTGTTTTCTCAAAGACTTTTGTAAATAATGCAGAATGTTCCGTCATTTCCTGAGTAGTTATAGTCACACTCCATATCCATCCACATCCATACATTCAACCAACCATGGATGGAAAATATATTTTCCAAAAACTGTGATTTTACTGCACAAGTACAGACCTTTTCCCCTTCTTCTCTAACCAGGCAACAACTATTCACATGGTATTTACATTGGATTAGGTATTGTCAGTAATCTGGAGAGGACCTCAGACTCAGTGAGAGCATTGTGTAGGTCATATGCAACTATGATTTGTTTTATATGAGGAACTTGAACATCTATGGATGTTGGTGTCTGTGGTGGTCCTGGAGATGGAGGAAGAAATGTAGTAAGTCAAAGACAATTATTGCTAAGTGTTGGGATGCAGTAGCTAACAAAATCAGATGTGACCCCCACGGTACTTACTATCTACTAGAGGATGAGGCAATCCCCATTGACCCTGTATTGGATGGGATGGTGCAGGCCCAGGGTGCTCGTGAGAACAAGCAAAAAGATGCCCAACTCACCTCAGCCTTGGAGGTATCTGGGAAGGCTTTCAGGAAGGGAGGTCTCAACTTGGGTTTGAAGACTAAGGGGTCAAGCTGGTGGGGAAAAAAAAAAAAAGTAGAAAGAGGGAGGAAAAGCAGTATTCCAGGCAAAACTCCATACTGATATTCAGGGGCCAAAGAGAACCTAGCCCGTTTAGGGATGGCATTCTTTGAGGCTGGAGCACAGAGTGGAAGAAGGTAGGAACATATTCTAATAATCCCCTATAGAGCATTCCCAGGTAGACACTGTAGTGAGGAAAATGAGACAGAAAATTCGGTGGAAAATCTATTTCTCATATTGTTTCTTTTTTTTTTTTTTTTTTTTTTTTTGACAGGTGATCCAATGGCAGGAGCCAGGTACTTATCCTGGTCTCCCATGGGGTGCAGGGCCCAAGCATTTGGGCCGTCATCCACTGCACTGCCTGGCCACAGCAGAGAGCTGGCCTGGAAGAGGGGCAACCGGGACAGAATTCGGCGCCCGGACCGGGACTAGAACCCGGTGTGCCGGCGCCGCAGGTGGAGGATTAGCCTAGTGAGCCGCGGCACCGGCTTTTCTCATATTGTTTCAAACTTGGTTTCCCTGTATTATTTTTATTATTGCTTGTGAGAATATATCCCAAAATAAAACATTTTGCTTCCCTTCTCTTATCCCCGAGGGATTTCTTTTATTTATTTATTTATTTATTTATTTATTTATTTTTTTGACAGGCAGAGTGGACAGTGAGAGAGAGAGACAGAGAGAAAGGTCTTCCTTTGCCGTTGGTTCACCCTCCAATGGCCGCCGCGGCCGGCGCGCTGCGGCCGGCGCACCGCGCTGATCCGATGGCAGGAGCCAGGAGCCAGGTGCTTTTCCTGGTCTCCCATGCGGGTGCAGGGCCCAAGCACCTGGGCCATCCTCCACTGCACTCCCTGGCCACAGCAGAGGGCTGGCCTGGAAGAGGGGCAACCGGGACAGAATCCGGCACCCCGACCGGGACTAGAACCCGGTGTGCCGGCGCCGCTAGGCGGAGGATTAGCCTAGTGAGCCGCGGCGCCGGCCCGGATTTCTTTTTTTTTAAGCTGAAGTAAAAGGGGTCCTTTTTCCAGCAGCCTGACTTCCCTGGTTTTTCCCAAGTCTGCAGGCTGTCCAAATCGGAAGCCAAGATGTCTTTTGAGAGCCTAAAGCTCCCTGTGCTCTGTGGTGTTTGCAGGTGAGGGAGCCTTTCCCGGGATCCTCGATCTGTTTGGAAGTGAGGGTGGCCTTTGTGAATACAGGGCCAGATCCTGGCTGGACATGGTTTTGCTGTGCTTGCCCTGTCGTACTTCAGATTTGAGGACCTCCCTAAAAACGTGAATGACCTGCGCCTGGAGTACTTTGAAGAAGCCGTGGACTTTATGCTGCAGCATCCACAGGTGGGACGGTGCTCACCCGAACCCAGTGCGGGCAGCGGGGCAGAGCCGACACAGGGCAGAACCCAAAATCCCGACCAGGACCTTTGGTGCTAGAAATATGTCAGGAGAGACAAAGGCTCCTACGGAAGTGACTGTGTTGTCCTCTCCATTCCTGCCCATCTGGCTATAACAAGACATGCTTGGGACAACTGGTGACCTCTTGAATAGGCATGAAGTTTGTGGGGATATTAAAGAATCTTATAAATGTTAAGCGTGATAATGGTACTGTGTTTTTTTTTTTTTTTTTTACAAAGAAAGTCTGTATTGGTAATAGAAAAAAATTAAGCCATTTTTGGATGTTTACAAATGAAATGATACACACTCTTTACTACCATTTAGATTGACAAGACCCAGACATTGTAATGTTAAGGAATAAGGGGTTCTGTGAGGTCTGTAGGATGGTCTAACCTTGTCCAGGGACTGATCTAGCGAAACAATCTAGGCTGCCAAAGCCTAGCTTGTCTTAAACTGTGAAGGTTGGTTTATTTAGGGGAGATAAGCTCCTGGAAAAATAACAGACCAGTATAGTCTACCAGTGTTATCCTTACCCCCTGGCAAGAGGGGCTTCTTGTGCTTTGCACTCTTTGTTTTAGCTGACTATAATTTGGCCCCCACTATAGCTGGACCCTTGCCTGCAGGGTTTGGAGTTGGAGGCACAAAGGAATGTGTCTGTCTGGAACCCATACAAGCCCCTCCCCCAAAGCCCTTGGCATCTACATGCAGTCTGCTCCTGTTTCAAGGCACCATGCATGTTCAAAGCCAGGACATCCACACAGATGTGTAAAAGGCCCCTCCAGGTGCATGAAGGAACCAGCTGTGGGATGAGAGAGGGTGGGACAAAATATAGAGACCAGGACCAGGCACTGGCGCTCATGCTGTGTTCTGGTGTAGAACTCTAATTTGAGCCTAACCTTACTATGTTGTTATGATGGTATATTTAACAAGGTAGGAGGAACATGTATTTTATTTGACTTAAATATTTAGGGATATGGGCCTCTGTGTGTACTCTGGAGTAGTTCTCATATATATATATTGGGGTGACCTGTGCACTAAGAAATCAACTGATTTGCTTATTAGAGCTTTGTTGCTTATGAAAGGAAAGCAAATGATATTTGGGAAAGCTACTTGGAGCATGCAAAGTCACTGTTTATGTCTTCTATATATGAATTCAAGGTTTGTTCTCTCTCTCTCTCCCTCTTCCTCAGGTGAAAGGCCCTAATGTTGGGCTTCTTGGCTTCTCCAAAGGAGGAGACCTGTGTCTCTCAATGGCTTCTTTCTTGAAGGGCATCACAGCTACTGTACTAATCAATGCCTGCGTAGCCAACACACTTGTTCCTCTGCATTACAAGGATATGGTCATTCCCGAGCTTGGCAGCGACCCAGCGAAACAAAAAATCACTGAGTCAGCCTGTCTGATTTCTGTGGATATGTGGAACAATCCACTAGAGGAACCCAACCTCCAAAGTCTTATTCCACTGGAGAAGGCCCAGGGTCCTTTCCTGTTTATTGTTGGCCTGGATGATCGAAGCTGGAAGAGTGGATTCTATGCTCAGGTAGCCTCTGTCTGGTTACAAGCCCATGGGAAAGACAGACCTCAGATAATACAATACCCGGAAGCAGGTCACTGTATTGACCCACCTTATTTTCCTCTCTGTAGAGCCTCTGTGCATGCAGTGTTAGGCAAAGCAGTGTTCTATGGAGGTGAGCCAAGGGCTCACTCAAGGGCACAGGTGGATGCCTGGCAGCAAATTCAACGTTTCTTCTATAAGCACCTTAGTGGTACAGAACCTGTCACACACAGCAAAATATAACATTGCAGTCATGCACCACATCCATTAATAAAAATCTGATTCCTGCAACTTGTGTTGATTTTCCGGAGTACCTAGGAGCCCTGTTGAAACAAACGAACCAGCTCAGCTTCCTTGTCAGGTCCTATTGGATTATCAGCCTTTGCAAGGCCCCTTTCCTCCCTGCTGGGTCTACCCTGGTGTCCCTGGACCTTTACCCAGTTCTGAGGCCCAAGCTTCTGTATTGCTCTAGAATCCCATATCCCCTGGGACCCTCACCTACTGTGTCTGAGCTGGGGGAACCTGCCCAGTTGCATCCCTTAAGAAAGACTGCCTTCCTCTTGCCTGAAGGCTTACTCAAGATCTGTCCCTGAACCCCAGTCTGAAGATGTGGACACTGGATGTGACCATGTATTCCTTCTGTTCACCGTCTGTCTGGAGTCCCCGTCACTGTATGGTATTCACTTGCCTGGAGGAACGCCTTGATGCTAAGATTTGGGGACTGCCCTGTGGGCCATGGCCTCCATCTCTGGATGTCATGTTATCCCTGGCAGAACAGACTGCCTTCCAGCTCTTCTGCTCTTCCTACTTCACTGTGGAGGAGGCCTGAGCCAGGTTTGCCTTAACCCCCTTCAGTGTACTGGGCTGTGTTAGAGGCTTTAGAGACTGGAGCAAAGGGTCTGCCCTAAGCACTGGAAAGTTCTTCAGATTCCAGGGCACATCCCGTGGTTTTCTGGGCACATACAAACTCTTTCACCAGCGTGAATCTATCCAGCCAAACACCCATTCAGTCTTAACTGCAGAAAAGAACGGCTGCTCAGAGGTAACTTAATTTTGACCACCTGGTAAGACTCTGTCAAGTGTTGTCATTCAGCATAGAATCTAATTTTCTGTCATATGAATTCTGGGAACCTCTGCTTCAACTCGTTGCAGGTGGACCTGATACTCTAGAAATAGGCCCTTGGGATGGGAGCTCACAGGAAGAAGTTAAAGGAAAGAGTCTGGGAGGATGAGAGAAGAGAGAGCCCCAAATGGCCCCAGAAACCGAGCATGAGGACGTCTAGACATCTCTATGCTACAGCACTAGTGTAGGATAGTCCTGGACCTCAAGTTCTTTTTTTAAAAAATAGATTTATTTATTTATTTATTTGAAAGAGTTACACAGAGAGAAGGAGAGGCAGAGAGAGAGAGAGAGAGAGGTGTCATCCATTCACTGGTTCACTCCCCATTAGCTGTATCTGCCAGAGCTATGTCGATCTGAAGCCAGGAGCCAGGAGATTCTTCCAAGTCTCCCATGTGGAGCTGGGTCCAAGAACTTGGACCATCTTACTACTGCTTTCCCAGGCCATAGCAGAGAGCTGGGTTGGAAGTGGAGCAGCTGGGACTAGAACCGGGGCCCCTATGGGATGCTGGCACTACAGGCAGAGGCTTTGCCCACTATGCCACAGCGCCAGCCCAATGGACCTCAATTCCTTCCGTACTGGTAAAGTAGTGGAGAAACTCCCTACAGTGACTACAGGTTTTTGGTCACTTTCCCCTCAGAGTTGACTACATATGGCCAGGTTTCTCCAGGATTTTTGTTTCAAAAAGAACTTCAGATTGTTCCAAAGCTACCTAAAATATGGAAAGCAGTATGAATTATAAGGGAGAATGAGGAAAGATACCCATAAAATGGAGGCAGAAATTAGGCTACTTACTGATGTCTATTATGAAGTCCTATACTGTACACTTACCTCTGTTGCCCACTCATTCTAGCAGTTTATGCAAAGAAGGAAACCTAATTAGTCGTATGAAATTTACAACATTCACACAATAAACGCAATGCTTAGAAATCAATTTCTCCCAGAGACTGCTATCCTTAGAAACATTAGGTGATGTAGGAGCTGGTATCCTCCAGGAGGCCTCTAGAGTAGACATAAATCACTGTACTCACTATGACCCTGGGGATGTCATTAACCTCATGAACTTCCAGGTCCTCAACTATAAAGAGGGGATCATGAGTACTTTATGGGGCTGTTGGGATCTGATGAGGCTGTTCAGGTAAAGCACTGAACATATTTCAACTTTCAAGTATTGGCTGTTATTATACTAGGTGAGGAGCCTGAGGCACAGAGGGTTAAGAACGATGCGTGGTGGGTGTGAGTTGAGTCAGTCCTGATCCAAAGGTTTCGTCTCTCACTGACCATTTGGCCTACTGCCTTCCAGCCTGAGCAGACATGCTCTAACAGTGCAGAATACTCAAGGTGTACAGGAAGGCTATGGGGCAACTAGGGCCACACGATGGAGGCTCCATAAGCCAAGAGTTCAGACTTGAAATCAACCAGAAATAAGTAACTGTTTTTTAACATACTGATCTTTTAAAAATAGAGCTATAAATATTTCTCCCTGAAGTTTATGGCTCAAGTCAGTTGAAGCCCGAAAGGAACTCTATTGGAAATGTTTATTTGTTGATTGATTGATTTGAGAGGTAGAGTTACAGACAAAGGGAGAGACAGAGAGCAAGGTCTTCCATCCATGTGTTATCTCCCCAAATGGCCCCAACAGCTGGAGCTGAGCCAATCTGAAGCCAAGAGCCAGGAGTATCTTCCGGATCCCCCACATGGATACAGGGGCCCAAGGACTTGGGCCATCTTTTACTGCTTTCCCAGACCATAGCAGAGAGCTAGATTGGAACAGGAGCAGCCAGGACTTGAACCAGTGCCCACATGGGATGCCGTTACCACAGGCGGAGGCTTAGACCACTGTGCAACTGCACGGGCCCCAGGAAGTGTTTTAAATAGGAGAACAATAGGGGCTGGCATTGTTGTTCACTCCTCGAATGACCACAGTGGCCTGACTCAGAAGCCAGGAGTTAGGAACTCCATTTGGGTTCCACCTGGGTGGCAGAGCCTAAGTGCTTGGTACTCCATCCTCTGCCTCCCAGGCACACTAGCAAGAAGTTGGATTGGAGTGTGGAGTAGCTGGGGCTAGAACCAGACATTCTAATATGGGATGGGGCTTCCCAAGCAGCAACTTAACTCATGACATCACAACACCTCCCCCCCAACTAAGCTCCTTTATACACTCATTGTAAATAACCTTTGAATCCTGGGAAGGCAAAATCTTGTCGAAAGCATTGCATTTTTTTCTGGTGTTAACATTAAGATATGCCCCAAATTTTATCATGACTCGTGCAATAATGAATTAGGGACAAGTCAAAATTACTTGAGTTTTTTTTTTAAGATTTATTTTATTTATTTGAAAGAGTTATAGAGAGAGGTAGAGTCAGAGAGAGAGCGAGAGGTCTTCCATCCTCTGGTTCACTCCCCAATGGCCACAATGGCCAGAGCTGCACCGATCCGAAGCCTGCAGCCAGGAACTTCTTCCGGTCTCCCATGCAGGTGCAGGGCCCCAAGTACTTGTGCCATCTTGCACTGCTATCCCAGGCCATAGCTGAGAGCTGGATCAGAAGAGGAGCAGCCACGACTAAAACCGGCGCCCATATGGGATGCCAGCACTTCAGGCCAGGGTTTTAACCTGCTGCACCATAGCGCCGGTCCCTTAAGTTGTTTTTTCTAAAACTGGGAGTCAGCCAAAGAGAGAAGGACTTTACTTTTAAAGGAAATGGGGTTGTCACATGGCTCTAAACCAGAAACTCCTGGTCAAGGGGTCATTAGCAAATGTATTAGATTCAGAAATCAGAACACATGACAATTATGATTTTATATATGGTTATTAGGACATTTGAAAGTACAATTGTCCCTATTCTCAAGATATATATTTACATTTCTCTTTCTTAACAAGTAGCTTAATGGAATTGTAATTTAATAGAATTCTACATTTAAAATTACATATGTAAATATATTCTTCACTATAAATGTTTCAAGTAATACAGGAAGATTCTCTTAACTCAGTTCCCAATCCCAGTCTTCTCCAAAGGATAGTTTCTATTTCCAATAGCAAGTGTACCCTTCTAGAACTGTTTTGTGTGCATTGGAAAAAAATATATACATGAATTGAAAGACATGGCTTTATGGGTTCAGTGCCTTCTCTCAAAAAAAGCATTAATGCCAGGGACAGCACTTTGGTATAGCAGGTAGAGCCAAAACCTGTAGTGCTGGCATCCCATATGGACACCAGTTCAAGTCCCATCTGTTCTGCTTCTGATCCAGCATTCTTTGCTATGGGAAAGCAGTGAAAGATGGCCCAAGTGCTTGGGGCCTTGCACCTGTGTGGGAGACACAGAAGAAGCTCCTGGCTCCTGGCTCCTGGCTCAGGATTGGCGCAGCTCTGACCATTGTGACCATTTGGGGAGTCAACCAGCGGATTGAAGACCGACGCCTGCCTCTCTCTCTCTCTCTGCCTCTCCGTAACTCTGCCTTTCAAATAAACAAATATTAAAAAAAAATCATCAATGCCATATACGGTAAGATTTTTCTGCATCCTAAAATATACGTTGCTAATACTTGTGTTTGGCCACAGAAAACAGCACTTATCTCCCCGTGGTATTCACTTTAGTTCCACTTTCTCTGTGAAAAAGCAAAATCCGTGCTCCATCTTCCCCTGGTCCCCACTGTCCCAACTCAGCTGGTTTTAGACCTTTATGACATTCAAATCAGGAGATTCTCTCTCCACTAGCTTCTGTCCTCCTTCCTACCATTTTGCAGTTCAATTCAATGTCTCATCTGAAATGCTGAAATTTTGACCTTGACAGTCTTTCTTCATCTGGGGCAAAGATTATTTTAAGGGAGGAAGCTAATTTGGTTGGAGCCAGCAGCAGCCATGGCTTCCTTGAAGCAGGTTTAGGGAATAGTATCCCCTGGTGGCCAGTGCAGGCAACTGCATGGTCCTGCAAAATGCCTGCAACTTGGTCTGTCAGGCCAAGCTAGGTCTGGGGGAAGTGGGTGATTCGCCAGCGACAGCAACCCTGGCCACCTCACCCACTGGCTATCCACTAGGAGGCAGACAGCCGCGGGAGGCTGGAGCTGGCCTGCCACAGGACTCAAGGCTCGACTTCCTGGGTTTGAGGCCTCCAGGTGGCCCACTCAGAAGATCCTTGCCTCTGGCAAAAGCCAAAGGGCGTGATGAAAAACCACTTCAATGAGGCTGGTGCTGTGGCT